TAGATCCGCCCCCTGGGGTAAAAGCAATTGGTTGCAAATGGATCTATAAGAGGAAGAAGGGCCCCGATGGTAAGGTTGAGACCTACAAGGCTCGTCTTGTGGCTAAAGGGTACACTCAGAAAGAAGGAATCGATTATAAGGAAACGATTATAAGGAAACCTTTTCGCCAGTAGCCATGCTTAAATCCATATAAAATAAAAAATATTATAATTATAGGATTATAATTATAATAAAATTATAGAAAATAATATATATAATAAAAATATTATAATTATTAATTATTATAATTCTTAATTTTTAAATATAAAATAAAAAAATTTACATATAATTTTTATTTTTATAAAATATTTATAAAAAATATTTTTATAAAATATAAAACGAGTCGAGCCGAGCCGAGCTCGAGCTTATGAACTCTTGACTCGAGCCGAGCTCGAGCTCGAGTCTTGTAGAATAGTCTTGAGCCGAGCTCGAGTCTTATAGAATAGTCTTGAGCCGAGCTCGAGCCTGGTACTATTTGGCTTGGCTCAGCTTAAATCCACCCCTACTTGTAGGTACATAGTGGCCACTCAGACCATCAAAGTACAGGGGATACCGAATTAATACCACATGGACACTTGCGCTGAGTTCACAACTCATCGGACGTCTGCGATGAGTTTATAACTCATCCCATGACTACGACAAATTCGTACTCGAAACGGGTCGCAATGAACTTTGGCTAGTGTAAACCTGTGATGAGCTTTAGATACTTACAAATCTATGATGAACTTTAGACATGCTCAAATCTGCGATGAACCTTAGACATGTACAGATTTCCGATGAGATTTAGACACGTGCAGAGCTACGATGAGTTCAAAGCCATTGCAGAACCGTGACAAACGTAGAATCACTGTAGACTAAGAATAAATATTAGTTACACGTGTCTTTAAATTATGTGCATGACGGGACGTCTCATAGGCCTAGTAAAGGCACACCCACTAAATGATGACATCACTCATGCCACGTTGGTTAAATGGGTCACGAAAGGAAGTAACACATGCGGATTATAAGAATCCTCAGAGGAAAAGAAAGTTCATCCTAGAGAAATCTCGTAAGACACGTGGCGGAACCCTAGTAGTGTTCCTTGAAAATTGTCAACGAATCCAATATTCCCTTTCCTAATAGGAATCAAATGCTTTTGGCTCCTTCCTTTCTGGGCCTCGGGATCTCTCCCTATAAATAGGGGTCTGTCTCATAATGAAGGGATCATCTTATCATTCACATTTGCCCTAGCCTCTAGCCTACCTCCTGCATACGGTCTTCCTTTGTCCTTTAAGGAGACCCCTGTATGTAGCCTCACCACCACACTTACACATCTAAAGGAATGAACGAAAACAACTTACATGATCGATGGGCTTGGATTTCATGTACTGTTCAAAACTTTGGCTTTTAAGGTTTTTGGTTGATGTTTTAGAGGATGAGATTTAGGAAAAAATTGCTGAAACTTTTTGGGGAAGGTGTTTTGAGATTTGAATCTAAACTAAGAAAGTTTAAGGTGTTGAAGGGTTTTGGAGCTTTGTAAAATTGAATTTTTTTCACTGCCTTGTTTCAGATTTTGTGTATTGGGGAAGATGCAATGGAGAGACCTAATGTAAAACTAGAACCCTAAAATTGGAACTGAAAGAATATTCAGGCAAGGCATAGGTATACTTTTTGTGAAATCAACTTCA